ATATATATATATATATATATATATATATAGTTTAATTGTACAAATATTAATGTATTCCTGTATTAACACATTTCAGTAATTATTTAAAACTGCAAAAATTAAATATTTTTCTAATTTTGTATGTATATAGTTGTGTGTGTGTGTGTGTGTGTGTGTGTGTGTATGTGGGGACATATGAATTTAAATGACACAATTCTGAAGAAAGCTACATTGTGATGCCAAAATTCAGGATTTATTTGAGTAACAAAACACTTGATTATGCACAGATTGTGCAGAGGGAAGGAGAGAGGACAGAGTGAATGATTAATGTAAATGACTCTACATGTCACATGTTGAGCTTCAGTTCACAGGTGTTGACTATTAACTACATTCAGAAACCAAACAGATTAGTTTTAAGAAGTATTTCCAGGGTTATTAAAGGTTTTCAGTGAACCAACCTTTTTCTCTCACAGGTGGCCTAAATGCAGACAAGGGGGAGTGAAAGGGTTGTGTTTATTTCATTTGTTTAATCTCACCTGATATTTAAGGAAGGCCTGAGAGGTTTGCAGGTTTATAAAGATTTCTCTCTTTCTGTGCTTATTTCTCTGTACTGTAGATGTGATGGTCTGGTTTTTCTTAATTTCCTAGTTTTGTTAATTTGAGAAATTCTATTTATGGACAGGTTTCTCAACTCTCATTTGTTGAAGTGGAGGGGGTGGTAAATCCTTAACAAAAGCAGTTTCTCTTTCCAAATGCTTCCAAATGCTTTTAACTTTAAAAAGATGTTGAAAAGAAGAAAATGTAGAAAAGAAATCTGCAAAAGAAAATTATGTCCCCCCCAATTAAACCAGATATTGTCTTGGCATCTGTGAAATTATAGTGGAACGTCAGGCCTCCTGTAAGTTCTCTCTCTGGTCTTTTGTGATAAAAAGTTAACTTCTCATTTAATTAAAATGGTAGGAAAAATTGTTCTTGTTTAAATAAAAATAATGTCAAGGCTACTTTTATATATATCAAGACAAAGTGGGGAAAAAAGGCACAAACCCACTTTTTTCCTTTGCAGATCTCTTGCAGTTCTTTTATTGAAAATCCAAACATCTGGTCTTTAGTCAATTAGCAGCATAAGGTAAAATTTTCTCCATTCTTTTCAGTAACCTTTTAACATGCCATCATAACTTTCCTATTAACTCTGTGGTAAGTGCTTTTTAGCTATTTCATACTTCTATATATTGTCAGTTTGTTTTCAGTTTGTTCATTACAGTAGTATGGCATTCAGAATTGGTATGGAGCCTTACCAACTATTTCTAAAGCAATAACTTAGCATGGTTTCAAATGGTACATTCTCATTAATTTATTTTTTGCTGTAAGTATGTAAAATGTGCAAAACAATGATTGCAATACAGTAACTACAATATTGTTTGAAAATGTAAATTTAACATGAAGCAGGTATCAATAAATCAATGTATTTTTTTAAACTTTTATACCTACAGAATGTGTATGATTTTTAAGTATAAAATTTAATTCTAAATAAAATTTTAACAGAGAACAATATTTGCACAAGTCTAGTAAGTGGTTACTTAAAAATGTACTTTAATTTTTTTCTAAACATACATATTGATAGGATATATTATATTGCTTTCTGGTTTCATAAAATCTTTTGTCAGTCCATTAAAATATCTTGCCTAGAGTACGCTGGATTCAAATGTACTTTTTAATTATAATTTCTGCAACAAAAGTTAGTGAATGAACCTATTTTTGCAAGGAACTTGGGTAAATATTGATGACTTGGGGTATAATCTGTTTCTGTATCAGTTCTGTAAATCATTACAATATTTACATTACCTTCTTTGGTAAAACAGTATATTTTTAAAGTTCTCTTTGTTTGTTGTATATAAAATAAATGGGTTCTGTAGTATAAATTTGTTCGCCTTCTTTGAAAAAGACAATTTATGAACATGGATTTTGTAACTTGAATGTTTGTGTTAAATCAGTTCTTGCTGGATAAAACATTATCCGTGTTAATCTTTAAAACTGGTTTTACTGTTTTAACAGTAAAACATAATAACTTTGATATGTGAAAAATGCATGCATGTCAAGCTAAGAGTACAATTAGTGCTATAGTGTAAGGGACCTAATTACACCTTAGCAAAGTTTTATTTTTGCAATTGAATAATTTGGTTGCAGGATTCACTTTTAAACTGGTTATGCCAATATTCTCCATTGCCTTTGTGTTCTGTAAATACCCTGCTCAGTTTAAGACATAATTTCCAAAGTGTATTTTGTGTTTGTTATTGTTTTGTTTGTGCCTGTTTATATAACTATTTATATAATGGGATTTATTTGAGTTGCAGTGTTCTGTGAGACTTAGCTTTGTAACAGATTTTTAAAGAGCAGGATTAGTATGTGAATCCCTCATGACCAGAGAAGTTAAATATAGGAATTAGAACAGTCTCATTCTACCAAAGTGAAAATGAGTACGTCTTCTGAGAGAGAAGTCTTCTTAGCCTAAGTTCTGCTGTCTTTATTTGGGCAAAATTCCCAAAGAACTTCATGGATCAGCCTGAAACTCTTACTAGATGTTGTTAAATGCAAGTTACCTTCCAGAACACACATAGAAATTCTGCCTAGCTCATATGTGGGCAGAATGCTTTCCCAAAATGAAAGTGTGGACATTTTAATGTTTCTAGGTGTGGTCGGTGATGCACACGGTGTACCTGGTTTAGGCATTGATCAGATTACTTAATCTTTATTCTGCTGTAAATTAAAGAAACGCCATCACTGATGCATTTTGTGTTAATGCCTCATGACTTTTTTACGCAATAATTGTAGTTAACACTCTTCATCAGTAGATCTCGAAGGGCCATGCAGTTCTGCATACGGTGAAACTGAGGCAGAATTTAACAGATTTGCTTTAAGTCAAACAGCAAGTCAGTGGCATTGCTGGGATAGAACCCAGGTCTCCTGACTTATAAGCAGTGCCTTATTTTCTCTGGCGATATGCATCTCCATATCCATACATTTGTGACTGAAAACAGAACTGTAGCTGCTTCCTCCATAGAGTCATGGAAAAGTGAGGCTGAAAGGGACCTCAGGATGTCATCTAGTCCAACCCTCTGTTCAAGGCAGAATCCATTCCTATCAGTTGAGAGGTACTGTATCTCCTGTCCTTTGCTAACATGCTAACTTGGTTGAGCTACTCGATCTTTAAATTAATGTTATATACTAGAAATAAATGCTTCCTGCCACCATTTAGACGAGTCAGATTTGCTCAGGAAGCCAGACTTTCCTTTGGGCATTCATATACCCTTAGTGTGAGAAGAGCTGTTGTTGTCCTGTGAGGGGGGTGTGTGTGTGTGTGAATTTCTAAGCTAAGGAGCAAGACACACTCTCCAGTTTCTTCCTTCACTTTATTTTCTCCACAACAACCAGAGCAGCAAAATTCTTGGGGCCAGGGCCAGGGATTCTCATATTAAGGAGAACCTCTTAAGAATGAGATCTTCCTGGAAATAGCTCTTTATGAGTTTCCTTTAGTGAGCTTGTGTTTTCTCTACAGCAACTACAATGACTTATTTTGGAACAATGTTGAAACAAATTCATTTTTATGAGTTGAGATGTGTGTGCTGGGAGGGTGAGGGGGCAGTGGTAGTGTGACTGCACCCTTTACTGTCCAGAGTACTTTGTAATGCTTATTTCCTTTCCTTGGCATTTAGAGGTACTCAGTCCTCTGGCTCCCAACACAGCCTCAGCTCTTCTCCAGGCCCCTCCGTTGCATGTTGGTTGTGGGCCTGTGTATGGTTGCTAGTCTTCCAGTTCTGCAAATGTGAAGTGCACTCTTAGAAATGCCCAGTCAAGCTCTGTTTTTTCAATGCAGGTTATTCTCTTGTTTTTTCTTTCTTTTTTTTTTTAAATTTAATTGGTCAGAAGTGAGCCTCTGGAGAACCAAAGGCCGGGACTGGGCTCCAACAATGTGTTACAGCTCAAAGAGCTGCCATATGCAGTTACAGGGACTGTTTGGATGTTCTCTGTAGGCCATAATCTGAATTGCAGCTTCCAGGAATTTATAGAAATATGTAGTATCTTAGTACAGCAGCCAGTTAGTAAGTCCAAAGAGGAAGAAATTGACCTGCAGTAAAATGAGTTCAAGGTCACATAAGGTGCCACTGCACCCACAGTGTTTTCCTCCTAACTCCTGGGCTAGGGACACCAAGTTACAAACAGATTTAAGTGATCAGAAACTGGGTTAAACCTGTAACATCATAAATTCAGTGCACATAAACCAGCTTCACAATGGCTGGAACTGATTTAAGATAAACCTGGTTGCATGTAGTATCAGATTTAACTGTTTTGGGTCAAATCAGTTTATAGGATTTCTGTCCCAGACCCCTTCCTGGTTTAGTTTAAATTGGAGTCTCCTAGCACCCCAGCATGCTTTTCAGCCCTGGGCTAGGCTGTCTGCTCCCGAAAGCAGTGTTGGCCCTGCCCTTCTCTTCCCTAGCTGAAAGGCCATCTGGCTGAAGGGAGCAGGGGACTGCAGCTACTTGGCAGGGGCACAGCAGCATTTGCCAGGTTTCCCCCTGCCCTACCCCCCTCGCCACTCACTGCTGAAGCAGGGATCCCCCCCTCCCTCCCCTCTCCCATGGCAGGGCCTCAGTAGCCCAGACCCCAGCCCAAGTTTCCCTCTAAGCTGCACGCATGTGCGGTCATGCACAATAAAAATCTTGCTGCGCAGTAACTTTTTAATGCCATGCACATGCCCAGAGAGGAGCAGGGCTGTGGCTTCCTGTAAACTTTGGGCATGGAGTGCGGTGGTAGAGGCACCAGGGCTGGCACGGGACACTTACCAGTGGT